GCCAGGATGGTCTCGATCTCCTGACCTCGTGATCCGCCCATCTCGGCCTCCCAAAGTGCTGGGATTACAGGCTTGAGCCACCGCGCCCGGCCTTTTTGTTTTAATAGAGATGGAGATTTGCCATGTTGGCCAGGCTGGTCTCGAACTCCTGGCCTCGAGTGATCTGCCCACCTTAGCCTCCCAAAGTGCTAGGATTACAGGTGTCAGCCACTGTGCCCGGCCTGAATTAATACATTCTGACTTAAAATGTATAAGTATATTTATATACTTATATACTTATATAAGTATATTTATACATTTTAAGTCAGAATTAAAATGGGAGCCCCAAAGGACTTTTGGCTATTTACACATTAATATGAATTGGTTTAACTAGACTGCTTCCTTGATAGGCTCAAATGATATTACTGACTTAGAAAAAAAATAGGACGTCTGACTGTGGGCAGAAAAATAATTTCTTAGCATGGGACATTCAGTAGGGTGGGTGATTAGGACTATATATTAGTAACAAGAGTCTGGTGGTCTAAGAAGAACAGAATGAAAAAGAAAGCACAGAATGGAGTTAGGAGGACCACAAAGATAAACTTGCATCTCAAAACTGTGTTTAGGGTAAGCCTTGCACTGTAGAGAGTTCTTAGGCCAGGTGAGGTGGCTCACGCCTGTAATCCCAGCACTTTGGGAGGCCGAGGTGGGTGGATCACCTGAGGTCAGGAGTTCAAGACCAGCCTGGCCAAAATGGCAAAACCCCGTTCCTACTAAAAATACAAAAATTAGCCGGGTGCAGTGGCACACACCTGTAATCCCAGCTACTCAGGAAGCTGAGGCAGGAGAATTGCTTGAGCTGAGATAAGGCCACCGCACTCCAGCCTGGGCGACAAAGAAAGACTGTCTCAAAAAAAAAAAGAGAGAGAGGAAAAAAAAAGAGTTTTCTTTTTCTTCCTCCATACTAAAGGATACTCTTACCACATTCATAGTTACTAATAAAACTACATTTTGGGAGAGCCAACCTGGGATAATTTTCCACTACTACACATACAAAGGTTAAGAGTAAAGCAATCTGCTTCATATATGTTTCTTTTAATCAACTCTTAAGTTCCAGGGTACACGTGCAGGATGTGCAGGTTTGTCACGTAGGTAAACGTGTGCCATGACAGTTTGCTGCACATCAACCCATCACCTAAGTATTAGGCCCAGGATCCATAAGCTATTCTTCCTGATGTTCTCCCTCCCCACAAGCCCCTCCATACATGCTCTTAATCTATAATCGCACAAGGATTACAATGCTTATTCATTCTTAATTCAAAAATATCGATAGAGCACCTCATAAGGCCAAGCTTGGGGGACTAAAGCAGTGAACCAAGACAAAAGTATCTGTGCTAGTAGGGCTGCCATTTTGCTCCTAAGTGCTTGTAGGCTTATACTAGGTTTTAGATTTTACAAGTTTTCCCTCAAGCAGTACTTACAGCATCTCCAAGCCTCATTAACAGCTGCTGTAAGATCAAAAGATCTCGGCAGATCAGGAAACGAGTACTGGCGATTTTATGCACACCTCTGCACACAATATATCCTGCTGTGCTACTACCATAGAGCTGGGAAAGATTCATTCTAATATTCAAAGGCTGAGCTGTAAAAAGAAGAAAAGTGGAGTTGAATGCATCATTGTTTTAATCAAAGAGGCACATTTGTTGTTCTGTCATTTACCTGGATTGAATCCCTTTTCCATTTCCACTTCTGTTTCATAATCCATTTCCCGTATAAGCAGTCCAATTGCATGGATTGGGTTCCTAATCTCTTGCAGTTTACTACAAATATCCTCCATTACATTTTCTCTATAAGGACAATTACAAAACTCTTATTACTACCGAGAATACGTAAGACAAGTTCTATATGTCCTATAAGCTAAATACATTATGAAACAAGAGAACCAGATAAACGAATGAAGACAATCACTCTGGCATACAAGATACAGTCCCTCTACATAGCAAATTTTCTCTCAGTTTTTCATGAACAACACACAAAACAAATGTGAGAAGAATACTTTTGTTTTTTAGAATTTTTAGCTAATTGTTAAAGCATATTTTACAAGTCTATTTCCAGACTTGAAGTCATGTGTTAAATTTTCTGTTAAAAGTAGAATATGTATTTAGAATCATGGCACATCAGTTTGACTTTAAGCTACTACTTTGTACACTCTGGAACATACATTAAAATCCCAACTTCGCAGCTAAAAATGCTGAATTTCCATTAGGAAATGCACTTTACCCTAATTCTCCTTACACATCAATAGTGATCAAATCTTCCAGAATCTGCTCTGCAGCCTTTTCCGGAGACTGTAGGTTATAACAACTCATTTCCATAATAACTGACATATCCATAGTTACTGACTCTCCAATCAGCCGGAGGCATTTTATAAGACATATGACATCCCGAGCGATATCCACATCTACAAATAAGAGAAAGTTAATTTATGTCTTAGGCCAATGACTATCTATTGATTGATACTACATTAAAATGTTAATAATTAAATGACAAGATATCTATCTGAGGTCTCAGAGATGCTTTGGTCTCTTAAGTGTTCATTAAAATATTTGTGGTGTGGTAAAGTGACCAAGACAGGCGTGGCAATCAATATTTTTTGTATCCATGTGAAACGAAGCATAGGGTTTATGTAGGAAGGGGATTAAATATGGACATAACAATTACTATTACCATCAGATATGGTTGTCTCATCTTCTGTCAAAAGGTTCTCATAAGGCAGGAGATATAAATGATCCACTAAGGAGGAGGGAATAAGGAAAGACAGGTACCCCTGGGAAAACAAATTTTCCAGTTACATTTTTTTCAGTAAAAGTTTAAAGGTATAAAATAATTGAGATGTGCATCTTATCATGAGGAAACACGAGACAAACCCAAGTTGCAATACACTCTATAAAACAATAGGTGTAGTCTTGGCAGGGCACAGTGGCTCACACCTGTGATCCCAGCAGTTTGGGAGGCTGAGGTGGGAGGATCACTTGACCCCAGAAGTTCAAGACCAGCCTGGATATCATGATGAAACCCCATCTCTTAAAAAAAAAAAAAAAAAAATTAGCCAAGTGTGGTGGCAGGCAGCCTTAGTTCTAGCTACTAGGGAAGCTGAGGTGGGAGGATCACTTGAGCCTGGGAGGTTGAGGCTGCAGCGAGCCTTAAGAGTGCCACTGTACTCCAGCCTGGGTGACACAGCGAGATCCTGCCTCAAAAAAAAAAAAAACAAAAAAAACCACAAAAAACAAAAAACAAGCATAGTCTTCAAATAATGTCATTCTCATGAAAGACAAACGCAGATAACAGTTTGAGGTTAAGCAAAAGAGACACAGTAACTAAATATATATATATTAAATTGGATCCTGGGCTTTTGGAGGCCAAGACGGGCGGATCACCTGAGGCCAGGAGTTTGAGACCAGCCTGGCCAACATGGCGAAACTCCATCTCCACTAAAAATACAAAATTGGCCAGGCGTGGTGGCGCATGCCTGTAATCCCAGATACTCTGGAGGCTAGGCAGGAGAATCGCCTGAACTTAGGAGGCGGAGGTTGCAGTAAGCAGAGATTGCACCACTGGACTCTAGTCTGGGAGACAGAGAAGACTCCTCTCAAAAACAAAAACAAAAAAATTGGATTCTGGATCAGGAAAAAAAATTATGGGCACAATTGGCAAAATCTGAATATAAACTATATATATATTATATTTGGCAAAATTTGAATATAAACTGTATAATATTATGTCAATATCAAATAACCTGATTTTTAAATTGGGCTGTGGTTATTTAATATCCATGTTCTTAGATACATGCTGAAATATTTAAGGATATTTAAGGATAAAGGAGCATGATATCTACAACTAACTTTTCAGCAGTTCAGGAAAAACTATGTTTAGAGAAAGAAGAAAAGCAAATGGAAGTTAACAAATGATGAATCCAGGTGAAGTGCATACAGGAATTCTTTTTGCTACTCTTGCAACTGCTACCTTAAGTTGGAAATTACTTCAATATAAAAAGTAAATAGGCCAGGTGTGGTGGCTCACACTTGTAATCCCAACACTTTGGGAGGCTGAGGCAGGTGAATCACCTAAGGTCAGGAGTTCAAGACCAGCCTGACCAATATGGTGAAACCTCGTCTCTACTAAAAATACAAAAATTAGTTGGGCATGATGGCGTGCACCTGTAGTCCAGCTACTCAGGAGGCTGAGACAGGAGAACTGCTTGAACCCTGGATGCAGAGGTTGCAGTGAGCTGAGATCATGCCACTGCACTCCAGCCTGGGAGACACAGCAAGACTCCAACTCAAAAAAAAAAAGAAAATAAATACAATAAAATACAAAAAAAGTACAGATAATAACACAGAAAACTATTTAAATGAATGAATCACAATTTTAGGGGAAAAAATACAAACGCAAAGTCGTAAAGGCTAACCGCAACATTCGGCAGACTAACACTCGGCAAGACCCACTGAACTTTTTGTTTTCTGAAGGCATTTTATTATAACAGCCACTGAACTGTCTCAAGAAGGTCTTCTCCATGCTTCAGTTCGCTTACTTTTTTCAGCAGGCACACCATGTTTGTGTGTGGATTCAAATGTAGGGCAAGAGGATGAGAGAGGGCTTCTTGATACTGAAGACAACAGGCATAGAACTTGCACCAGAATTCTTGTTGTAAATTTCGAAACTCCTCCTGGGAGAATTCATACTCTGTTACACTTCCTTGAAGCTGGCAAAGAAGAAATGAAAGAAATTAAACTTTTGATGCCATTTAGGATCTTTGTCCACAAAAAATATAATTGTCCAATATCATTATACTAAGCTACAGCCAAATGGATATTCCTTACGTATAAAAGGCCATAGAATATGCAAATGCATATCTGATTCTCTAGTTAAAAGGTTTAAAACATTTGTACTTCCAACGAACAAGGTCAAGTGAAGAATTCCAATAATTCCTCAGTGCCAATCTGCCCTATATCAAGATGGAAGGAATTCTTACTCTTTCTCTACCCAAACCTCACCTCATTTTCAACAGCTAAAGTAACTTCCTTCTTCAGTTCACTCCAGGAAAGATCCAAATTCCTCTCAGTTCCTCGGCAGAAAATCTAACATTAAAAGACATTTTAGACTTCTATATAATAGCCAAAACTGAATGAAAAATATTTCAGTTTAGAAGACATGGAGGCAATGTAAAACTATATCATAGAGATCTGGCATACGTGGAACACACATCACCTGAGAGAAAGTTAAGAAACTGGGCGTATTTAGTCTGGAGAAAGATGACCTGGAAAGATTCTTAAAATACCTGAAGGGTTGATTTATAGAAGAGAGGCTTCCTTTTCAATGATACACTTTGGGAATAATAACTCCCACAAGAGGTAGTGAGACAGTGGTCAGTGGAGGTAGAGACAATTAAACGCTGAATTAACTATCACAAAAGCCTCAGAAGGCATTTCTGTTTCATGTGGGAGGTCAGACTAGAAGATTCTAATATAACTTTCAATTATATGAGTTATTGTATTTTAAATCCATCCATGAAGCTAAGTAGTAATTTAAAGAAGCCTATGCAGGCTGGGTGCAGTGGCTCATGCCTGTCATCCCAGCCCTTTTGGAGGCTAAGGCGGGTGGGTCATCTGAGGCCAGGAGTTCGAGACAAGCCTGGCCAATATGACGAAACCTTGTATCTACTAAAAACTACAAAAATTAGTGGGGTGTGGTGGCATGTGTCTGTAGTCCCAGCTACTCGAGAGGCTGAGGCAGGAAAATCACTTGAACCCAGGAGGTGGAGGTTGCAGTGAACCAAGATCGTGCCACTATACTCCAGCCTGGGCAACAGAGCAAGACTCTGCCTCAAAGAAAAAAAAAAAAAAAGTCTATATAACTTTTTTGTTGTTTTAAAAGAGATGGGAATCTTGCCATGTTACCCAGGCTGGTCTTGAACTCCTGAGCTCAAGCAAATCACCCCCTTGGCCTTCCAAAGTGCTGAGATTACAGGTATGAGCCACTGCATCTGGCCAGAAGCCTGCGTAACCTTAAAAAACCCTTTCTGTTTTTTTTTTTCTTAAAGACAGGGTCTCACTCTGTTTCCCAGGCTGGAATGCAGTGGCATGATCAAGGCTCACCACACCCTCTACCTCCTAGGCTAAAGCTGTCCTCCAACCTAGGGCTCCTGAGTAGCTGGGACCACTGGTGCATACCACCTGGCTATTTTTCTTTTTTTTTCAGAGATGGGGTCTCCCTCTGTTGCCCAGGCTGCTCTCAAACTCCTGGGCTCAAGTGTATCTTCCTGCTTCAGTCTCCCAAGGTTTTGGGATTATAGGTGTGAGTCACCACTGTTGGCCAAAGAATCTTTTTGTAAAGCACTGGGCTTCTCTTATACTATGAATTTGAAGCTAAAAGCCTTTTTCTTTTTTGTTTTTGAGACGGAGTCTCACTCTGCCACCAGGCTGGAGTGTAGTGGTGCAATCTCAGCTCACTGCAACCTCTGCCTCCTGGGTTCAAGAGATTCTCCTGCCTCAGCCTCCTGAGTAGCTGGGACTACAGGCACGCGCCACCACGCCCGGCTAATTTTTGTATTTTTAGTAGAGATGGGGTTTCACCATGTTAGCCAGGATAGTCTTGATCTCTTGACCTCGTGATCCACCTGCCTCGGCCTCCCAAAGTGCTGGGATTACAGGCGTGAGCCACCACGCCCGGCCAAGAGTTTCTTGAATTTGAACCAAGTCAGACCTTCACTGTCCTAATAAAAAGGTTAGAACAGTATAACCAAAACTAAACAAAAAAGCACTTTAAGTATGCAGTGTAGTATGGTATCTTTTTACAATACTGTAGGTAGAGGTTTCTCTTTTTAACTCCAGCATGTGTCATGCTGGGATTATTGGGAAAGTGGTCCCCCACTGACCTCTCCACCAGGAATATTATATTTAATGGAAAGAACATTAAAAAAATTATAAAAGTATTTACAAACACACATATGTAGAAATACAGAAGTACACTCAGTGTTTAACATATGCAAAAACTTAGTAGTAATTATTAATTATATAATACATAATAAAATAAGAAATAGTCTTAAATAAACAGTATATATGTTTTTACTGACCTGTAAAGCCTTACATAAAGCTTCATTTGTGAATTGTCCTGGTGTAAAAAGACTTTGCAGATACATCTCCTGTTAGAACATTAAAACAAAAGTTACTATCGTCCTAAACAAAATGTGGAAGTCACCACATAACACCAAATTCACGCGTAACACCAAAGTTTGAGTTTCTACTATATGAACATTGCCATTTTGCCCTTCTATATGTGGGCAATAACAGTAATGCAGTTCCATGTTTTCACCCTGAAAGTGAAGACTGCAATGTCTTTGAGTCAACTAGAGGTACTATACTTAAAATGGTGTGTTCCTCACAGAGAGCTTCATTGGGTTTCAGCAGAAAACAAGCTTTGTCAAATGCCAATCTTAAATAGAAGAAGCAAATCTAGTTTATTGGTGATATACATTGGTAAGAGAACAAGTAAATGAAGCTGGTTTCTACACCATCTATAGTATTCATTTTATGACCCACATGTAAAAGAAATGGAACCAGTAATAATAGGTATTATATGCAAACAAAACAAACAGCAATAAACTCTCACAAGTAGGGAAATGAAGTAGAGAGAACATGGAAAAATCTCATACTGCCTAATGATTTTGGCCAACTCTCCTAAACTAGATTTGCCCCCAAGTAGTAATTCTCACTAACAGTCATTCAAGTTTCCTTCCTTCTACTGAGCTTTTGATAGATGATAAAATGACCGAAATGAAGGAGAAAAATAAGAATTTTAGTAATCAGCATATAAAGCCAAGTGCCAGTAGTTAACTGGAACAATAAATAACTACCACCAACAAACTCTTGGGATTAAAAATGTAGTAAATGAAAATTCCATTTAAGATTTTTAAAGTATAGTTTTTACTCCTGCAAATAGTCATTGTTTCAGATCCCAAGCCCATAATCTTTAACATCATTTTAACACTAAGGCATCAACTGGAAACTTTTTTATTTATCCTGAGGGTGTCCCTTAAACATGTGGAGATTTGGCCGGGCACAGTGGCTCACGCCTGTAATCCCAGCACTTTGGGACGCTGAGGTGGGCGGATCACCTGAGGTCAGGAGTTCGAGACCAGCCTGGCCAACATGGTGAAACCCCGTTTCTACAAAAGTACAAAAATTAGCTGGGTGTGGTGGTGCGTGACTGTAGTCCCAGCTACTCGGGAGGCTGAGGCACAATTGCTTGAACCTGGGAGGTGAAGGTTGCAGTGAGCCGAGATCATGCCACTGCACTCCAGCCTGGGCCACAGAGTGAGATTCTGTCTCAAAACAAACAAACAAACAAACAGATCAAGGTAAATCATTCCCTTATATAACATTTGAGCATTTACTTACTCTGGGGTCTTGATCATCTCTGATGACAATCTCTTCCTCTGGCAGAGGCTGCATAAAAACTGGATTCCACTGACCTGCAACATTACTAGAGACAAAAAAGTCCACCAGTTTATATAGAAATGATCACTAAAAATGAAATGCATGCTGTTGGCAGTATCTGGGCAGGGAGGACCCCATCACGGAACCCCTGCAATGACTGCTTCATTCTATTAAAAACATTTTCTTTTTTTTTTAATAAGAAACATTTTTAGCAGAGCCTAGTTTTTATACAAGTTTTCTTACCAAGTTTTAATAAGTACCTTCCTAAAATTGAAACTCATTGTCTCAGATGCCAAGCCTATAATCTTTAATGTCATTTTAACACTAAGACATCAAATACAAAGACTAGTTAACTTTTATTCTGCATTTACTATTTGCTAGGTATTACACTAGATCCAGTTTTAGACATTATTCATGTATGCCTTACAATTCTTTCAAGGATATAGTACTCCCATTTCACAGATATAGAGAGTGAGGCTGAGGGTTTATCACAGTTGGTAAGTTGCACAACTAGGATTCCAACCCTGCTCCAACTCTGCAGCCTGTGTTTTCTGACTACTTTGCTCAAACGCCATCTATAAGGAGTATTTTTTATCTTCTGAGGTATGGCTTGAGGTCAACCGGCGGGGGGCAATCATTCCCAGAATTCTACCTTAGGCTCTAGGGTTATCAGGGACCCAGAGGGTTCAATTAGTTCAGTGGTCCTCAAGCTCTGTCCCAAGGGATCCTCTACAGGTGTTTCAGGGGTTAGACAAGTGTTTGCTTCAAAAGGGTTTGTTTTTTATTTTTTGCCAGTCAAATTTAGCAGTGGAGGGCTGTATACCAACTTTAGTGACACTAACGTAAAGTTCTGACAATCCATTATCATGGGACCAGCCAAAAATTGTTTTGTGAAATGTATTTTTAACTACCTAAAGTTTGCAAACTAATATCATGTACATTAAAAAATATTAGATACCAAATATATCTAATATTAGATATAATCAACATTAAATTGTGTTATAATTTCATAAACATAAAAAAAAAGTACACATTCATAGCTCACTGAAGCCTGAACTCTGAGGCTCAAACAATCCTCCTGCCTCAGTCTAAGGTGCAACGTGCCACCACACCTGGCTAGTTTATTTATTTTTATTTATTTATTTATTTTTGAGATGGAGTCTTGCTTTGTTGCCCAGGCTGGAGTGAATGGCACAACCTTGGCTCACTGCAACCTCCGTCTCCTGGGTTCAAGAGATTCTCCTCCCTCAGCCTCCTGAATAGCTGGGATTATAGGCACATGCCACCATGCCCGGCTAATTTTTGTATTTTTAGTAGAGACGGGGTTTCATCATGTTGGCCAGGCTGGTCTCAAACTTCCAACCTCGTGATCTGCCCACTTCGGCCTTCCAAAGTGCCGGGATTACAGGGATGATCCACCGCACCCAGCCGCTATTTTTTATAGAGACATGGTCTTGCTATGTTGCCTGGACAGGTCTTGAACCATGGCCTCAGGCAATCCTCCCACCTTAGCCTCACAAAGTGCTTGGATTACAGGTATGAGTCGCTGTGCCCGGCCCTGTTTTAAAGTGCAGTGAGAAGCACTGCACTTGTCCAATCTATTTCTCATCTCATGATGAGAAAATTGAAAACACAAAGGCTATAGTGTCCTAACGTAGCTGCAGGAATCAGGAATAGTCTTTGCTTAGAAACAAAGAAAACTCCCAGATTAGAGGTATTTTGGATATGTGCTATCTCTCCCAAGAAATATGGCATTTTATCTTAGTCCAATCCCAAAAAATCTCATTTTGTCCTAAAACAAAAATGTAAAAAACAACACAAAATGCACAAGAGGTATTTCAGGAAGACAGTAACAAGAGGAAAACCCAGGGCTGAATTATCCAAATGAAAACCCTTGACTTCATTCTACATAAAAAGCTCTCATCTTTTTTTTTTTGAGACAGTCTTACTCTGTCGCCCAGGCTGCAGTACAGTGGAGCGATGTTGGCTCACTGCAATCTCTGCCTCCTAGGTTCAAGCAATTCTCATGCCACAGCCTCGCCTCCTGAGTAGCTGGGATTACAGGCACCTGCCACCACGCCCAACTAATTTTTTGTGTTTTTAGTAGAGACGGGGCTTCACCATGTTGCCCAGCCTGGTCTTGAACTCCTGAGCTTAACTGATTTGCCTGCCTCGGCCTCTCAAAGTGTTAGGATTACAGGCGTGAGACACCGTGCCCGGCCTCTCTTGTTTTCTTAGCATGAAATTGCTTGGGGTGAGGTAGGACGACAGAATTAAGTGACCCATACTGTTCAAAGTTGATGTATTTCACAACTGTTTGGTTCTCAGCATCATGCCACAGGGCCCAGATATCCGTGGAAGTTAAGGCAAAGTCAATCAGTGTCTCCTAGGAGGAAATGTGGGAAAAAAGGGATAAAATAAGAAAGAAAGTAGTAGTTCACGGTGACTTACTTTTTCATCTGCAGGAGAGGTAAATGCATGAAAACCAAACATGGTACCACATGAATTTGGTAAAGTCTAAATGAAATTTTGTTTCATACATCATGAAATTATTCCATTTTAAGACTACAATCCCATTACACCATAACAGAGTTAGCCAATACTTCTTTTTCTTGTACTTATGTGATATGCAAAGGATGAATCAACCTACCTGAGAAGTGAACAGTGAAGAAATGTGATCTAGACTATAGCGGTTACTCTCAGTGCTCACCAACTGGAAAACGCAGAACTGTTAAAACACAAGATAATCATTTATTACCTGAAATAAACAACATGTTACTTTTCGAAGCAAGGGCTATTAGCATTCAGAAACCTTTAAAAAAAAATTTTTTTTTTTTAAATGGAATCTTGCTCTGTACCCCAGGCGGGAGTACAATGGCATGATCTTGGCTCACTGCAACCTCCGCCTCCCAGGTTCAAGCTATTCTCCTGCCTCAGCCTCCCGAATAGCTGGGATTACAGGTGCCCGCCACCATGAATGGCTAATTTTTATATTGTTAGTAGAGACGGGGTTTCACCGTGTTGGCCAGGCTGGTCTCAAACTCCTGACCTCAAGTGATCCACCCGCCTCGGCCTCCCAAAGTGTTGAGATTACAGGTGTGAGCCATGCAGCCTAATTTTTGTATTTTTAGTAGAAGACAGGGTTTTATCATGTTGGCCAGGTTGGTCTCGAACTCCAGACCTCAGGTGATCTGCCCACCCTGGCCTCCTAAAGTGCTAGGATTACAGGCGTGAGCCACGAAGCCCAGCCTAAATTAACTGTTTTTATAAAGAAAATTTACTGTAAATTGTTAAGAGTGATGATGACCCTTTACTTATATGCAGCTGTTCACAGAGAAGTATTAAAGAAAAAAAAGTAGCAAAATTCCCTTTTGAGAAAAATAGTGTATGAATTATGAAAAAAATATGTAGTGCTTATATCCATTCTAGCCTGAACCTGTGTTTTACAACCTACAAATCTCAATCCATTCATGGGACATGAAATCAATTTAGCAGGTCTCAAACAGCATTAAACAGACAAACAAACAAACAAACAAACAAAAACCCAACAGTCCAGGCTGGTCTTAAATTCCTGAACTCAAATGATCTTCCTGCATCAGCCCCCTGAGTAGCTGGAACTATACATGTGCACCATCAGGCCCAGCTGAAGATGAGTTCTTGTGAAGAAAAAAGAAATAAAATACTACGAGTTCACTATAATCTGAATAGGCTAACAGTGTTACATAGCTGTCAAAAAAGTTATTCTGATTTTAGGCTTCAATGAAGAATCATAATACTCAAAACAAAGGAAGTAATAGCTCTGCTCAATTTGACACACTCCTGAACTACTACATTCATTCCAGATCTGACCTTTAGAGCAGTGGTTCTCAAAATGTGGTTCACAGATTCCTAAAGGTCCCTGAGACCATTTCAGGGGGTCAGTGAGGTAAAAACCCTTTCTCTTTTTTTTTTTTTTTTTTTTTGAGACGGAGTCTGGCTCTGTCACCCAGGCTGGAGTGCAGTGGCACGATCTCGGCTCACTGCAAGCTCCGCCTCCCGGGTTCACGCCATTCTCCTGCCTCAGCCTCCCGAGCAGCTGAGACTACAGGCGCCCACCACCGCGCCCGGCTAATGTTTTGTATTTTTTAGTAGAGACGGGGTTTCACTGTGTTAGCCAGGATGGTCTCGATCTCCTGACCTCATGATCCGCCCACCTCGGCCTCCCAAAGTGCTGGGATTACAGGCATGAGCCACTGCGCCCGGGGCTTTTTTTTTTTTTTTAAAGACTGTCATTCAGGCTGGAGTGCTATGGCACAATCTCCACTCAGTGCAACATCTGCCTCCTGGGTTCAAGCAATTCTCCTGCATCATTCTCCCGAGTAGCTGGGATTAATGATGCCCACCACCATGCTTGGCTAATTTTTGTATTTTTAGTACAGTCGGGGTTTCACCATGTTGGCCAGGCTGGTCTCAAACTCCTGACCTCAGGTGATCTGCCCTCCTTGGCCTCCCAAAGTGCTGGGATTACAGGTGGGAGCCACTGCACCCGACCCCAAACCCTTTGCATAATACTACATCATTTGCCGTTTCATTTTGTTGATATTTGCATCAATGATGCAAAACCAATGGCGGGTAAAATTACTGGTGTCTTAATATAAATCAAGGCAGTGGGACCAAACTGACACCCTTTCAAGAGAAAAACACTCAAGAAACTAGGAGTAAAGGGGAAGCTCCTCAACATGACATAAAGGGCACTTATTAAAAATTCAGGCTGGGCACTGTGGTTCACACCTGTAATCCCAGCACGTTGGGAGGCTGAGGTGGGTGGATTCCTTGAGCTCAGGAGTTTGAGACCAGGCAACATGGTGAGACCCCGTCTCTATCAAAAATACAAAAAAATTAAACATGCATGGTGGCACACGCCTGTGGTCCCAGCTACTTGGGAGGCTGAGGTAGGAGGATTGCTTGAGCCTGAGAGGTGGAGGTTGCAGTGAGCTGAGATCGCGCCACTGCACTCCAACTTGGGTGACAGTGAGACACTGTCTCAAAAAAAAATTCACAGATTACTGTTGCATCACGATGAAAAAAAGAAAAATTACCAGCTAACATTATACTTAATGATGAAACACTGATAACTTCTCCCTTAGCAATAAAAATCAGGAATGAGGTAAAGATGCACAGCATGGCCAACATGGTGAAACCTCATCTCTACCAAAAAACAATACACAAATTAGCTGGCGTGGTGGCACACGCCCATAGTACCAGCAACTCTACTCAGAAGGCTGAGGTGGGAGAATCGCTTGAACCAGGAGGTTGCAATGAGCTGAGAGTGCACCACTGTGCTCCAGCCTGAGTGACAGAGTGAAACTCTGTTTCAAAAAAAAAAAAAAGACGTAGGTTCTTGCCACTTCTATTCAACACTGTACTGGAGGATCTAGCCAAGACAATTACCACCCACCTCCATCCAAAAAAATTTTTTAAAACCCCACAAGAAAGAAGGAAAAGAAACGAAAAGAAAGAAAACGCATCTAGATTAGCAAGGAAGTAATAAAACTAACTTTTTTGTGAGACAGGGTTCTGCTCTGTTGCCCAGGTTGAAATGCAGTGAGGCAATCAGGAACACTGCAGCCTCAACCTTTCAGGCTCAAGTGATCCTCCCATCTCAGCCCCTCAAGTAGCTGGGACTATAGGAACGAGTTACCACGCTCAGCTAATTTTTGCTATTTTGTAGAGACAGGGTTTCGCCATGTTGCCCAGGCTGGTCTGGAACTCCTGAGCTCAAACAATCCGCCCACCTCGGCCTCCCAAAATGCTGGGATTACAGGTGTGAGCCATTGTAATCAAAAGTTTAGTTGCAAATGACATTATCTTGTATAAAGAAAATCCTAAGGAATCCACTATAAAATCTATCAGAACTAATAAATGAGTTCAGCAAGTTTGCAAGATACAATTATGAATATACAAAAATCAACTGTATTTCTATAAACTTTCAGTGAGCACTCTGAAAATGAAATTAAGAAAATAATTTCAATTGTAATAGTATCAAGAAAATTTTATTTACAATAGCATCAAAAAGAATCAAATATTTAAGACGAAACTGAACAAAAGCATAAAACTTATATTCTGAAAACTAAAGCATCCCATGTTCATGGATCAGAAGACTTAATATTGCTAAGATGGCAATATTTTATAATATCATCTATAGAGGCAACACAATTTTTATCAGAATCTCAGCTGACTCTTTTGTAGAAACTGACAAGCTGATTCTAAAACTCATATGGAATTAAATGGGACCCAGAACAGACAAAACAATCTTGAAAAAGAAGGACAAAGTAAGAGGGCTCATACTTTCTGGTGTCAAAATTTCCTACAAAGCAAGAGTAATCAAGACAGTGTGGTACTGGCACAAGGTCAGATATATAGATCAATGGAACAGAATTGAGAGTCTAGAAATAAAACCATGTGTCTAAGGTCACATGATTTTGAGAAGGGTGCCAAGACTATTCAACATGTTAAGTACTATCTTTTTAACAAATGGTGCTGAGAAAACTGGGTATCTACAAGCAAAAGAATGAAGTTGAATGCTTACCTCACACTATTAAAAAAAAACTAAAAAATGAATCAAAGTCCTAAAGGACTTTAGGATATAAAAGCTAAAAGTATAAAACTCTGAGAAGAAAACATAAGAGTAAATCATTATGACCTCAGATTTGGCAAAGGATTCTTAAGTTATGGCACTATGAACAAAAGCAACCAAAGAAAAAACAGATAATATGGACTTTATCAAAATTAAAAATGTGTGCTTCATGGGACACCATCAAGAAAGTGAAAAGACAGCTCACATGGTAGAAAATACTACTTGCAAATCATAAATCTGATTAGAGATTTAGATCCAGAATAATATAGTTACAGACTATATAATGACGCTTTGGCATATGGACCACATATACAATGGTGACTCCATAAGACTAAGTTTATAATACCATTTTTTTTGTTTGTTTTTGAGACAGGATCTTGCTCCATTGCCCAGGCTGGATGGCGCGATCCCAGCTCACTGCAACCTTGGCCTCCGGGTTTCAAACAATTTTCATGCCTCAGCCTCACAAGTAGCTGGGGTTACAGCACAGGCCACCATGCCCAACTAATGTTTTGTAATTTCAGTAGAGATGGGATTTCACTATATCGGCCAGGCTGGTCTTGAATTCCTGGCCTCAAGTGATCTGCCCACCTTGGCCTTCCAAAGTGCTAGGACTACAGGCGTGAGCCACCATGCCAGCCTGTTTACAGAATTCTTACAATTCAATAACAAAAAAGACAAATAAACCAATTAAAAAATGGGCAAATGAGAAGACTGAAGCTGGATCCCTTCCTTACACGATATACAAAAATCAACTCAAGATGGATTAAAGACTTAAATGTAACACCCAAAGCTATAAAAACCCTGGAAGACAACCGTAGGCAATCCCATCCTGAACACACGAACGGGCAAAGATTTCATGATGAAGACACCAAAAGCAATCTCAACAAAAGCAAAATTTGACAAGTGGGATCTAATTAAACTTAAAAGATTCTGCACAGCAAAAGAAACTTTCAACAGAGTAAACAGACAACCCACAGAATGGGAGAAAATATTTGCAAACCATGCATCTGATGAAGGTCTGATTTCCAACCTCTATAAGGAACTTAAATTTACAAATGAAAGGCAAACAACTTCATTAAAAAGTGGGCAAAGGACATGAACAGACACTT